AGGCACGACGAAGCTGATATCGTCCTCTTTTGGAAGACCAAACAAAGTAGTTTCGCTTTCACAACGAAACACAGTGTCTCCACTACATGGCAGCGCGGCAACAATACTACAGCGAGAATAAAAGTTACGCCTTACTTTGTGTGAACATTTGGGCGGTGTTATGCAAATCTTCCCACATAGTGAAGTAGACATATGGGGGCGTGTTTTTAACGAGGCATTTTAGGAGGGCGTGGACAAGTCTTTAACTTTTATAAAGAATATCTCTTTGGATTTGAGACTTTACCTGCTAGAGTTATTCAGCCAAGAATAACAACTAAAAAAAAAAAAAGCCCAGAACTGTTTTTCTGACGGACTGATGTGACATAAACACTGTTAACCCTACATTTGAACATTCAAACATGGCATATGTAAGGTTACATGAATGAGTGGTTCTATCATAAGCATGCATAAAATAGTCTACAATACAACAGATAATATACAAGACAGCAATAATCAACGGTCGCTTTGTCGCGTCCAGTGTACTAGACAGACTTTAGCTGCAGACACGTTGTTACTCACCTTTCGAGAAGAAACAAAGCAACCTCGGCGTCCGATCGCAGGCCTTCCGCTCCTTGAGTTCTCTCCAGCGCTGGAAAGCTGATCCGATATTTACACGGGTCCTACTTCTTGCCTTATTGCCTTAAGCCTTCTTTTGTTCCGCAGACGTTTTCCTATTTTGTTTTTTATCCGCCATCACTATCTTTCTGTCGCTTGGCTCGCTAATGTCCGTCCTGTGCACTGAACCCTCTCTTCTCAACATCATGAGTAGACACGCCCCTTACTGCTGATTGGCTACAAGTTTGTTTTGCTAGTCGGCCCGAATCAGTTTTTTAAAGCGTTTTTGAAAAATCGCTTACCCCACCTTTAAGCACTCAGTCGACAGCAGGAATATAGCCCCTGTCACTTTAAGAGCCGCACTGATCCAATTTACTGTTACCACTAGAAAGGGGGCGGAATGGGGTGCAATAATTGTTTTATCGTGTTTATTGTATTTTCATAATGCCGAAATCGAAATCAAAACCATATTTCGATTAATTGCACTAGCCCTACCATGAGGGTGAGTAATTAATGACAGAATTTTCATTTTTGGGTGAACTATCCCTTTAATGTGGCATTGACAACTCTATAACTTGGCTGATTTCATAGACTAGTTAATTACAGTGTTTTAGGAATATTGTAATGTATTGGTGGGTGTGAGCTGGTATATCAGTAGGAGAGGTTCAGAGAGGTTAATTGGAAAACAAATCCGATTCCCCTAAGGTGAACAGTGGGTAATGAATCAATCGAAGTGTGTGTGAGTGAAGTTTTTGTGATGTATTCGAAGTGATGTATTTCATCAGAAGTGCAAGTCATAACTCATATACAGGTGCATCTCAATAAATTAGAATGCCGTTTAGTCGAAGTAGTTTAAGTCTTTGGTTCTTTTAATTGTGATGATTTTGGCTCACATTTAACAAAAACCCACCAATTCACTATCTCAACAAATTAGAATACTTCATAAGACCAATAAAAAAACATTTTTAGTGAATTGTTGGCCTTCTGGAAAGTATGTTCATTTACTATACATGTACTCAATACTTGGTAGGGGATCCTTTTGCTTTAATTACTGCCTCAAATCGGCGTGGCATGGAGGTGATCAGTTGTGTCTCTTGTTTCTCATTTTCCTCTTGACAATACCCCATAGATTCTCTATGGGGTTCAGGTCTGGTGAGTTTGCTGGCCAGTCAACTTTTGGTGCTTTTGGCAGTGTGAGCAGGTGCCAAATCCTGCTGGAAAATAAAATCAGCATCTTCAAAAAGCTGGTCAACAGAAGGAAGCATGAAGTGCTCCAAAATTTCTTGGTAAACAGGTGCAGTGACGTTGGTTTTCAAAAAACACAATGGACCAACACCAGCAGATGACATTGCACCCCAAATCATCACAGACTGTGGAAACTTAACACTGGACTTCAAGCAACTTGGGCTATGAGCTTCTCCACCCTTCCTCCAGACTCTAGGACCTTGGTTTCCAAATGAAATACAAAACTTGCTCTCATCTGAAAAAAGGACTTTGGACCACTGGGCAACAGTCCAGTTCTTCTTCTCCTTAGCCCAGGTAAGACGCCTCTGACGTTGTCTGTGGTTCAGGAGTGGCTTAACAAGAGGAATACGACAACTGTAGCCAAATTCCTTGACACGTCTGTGTGTGGTGGCTCTTGATGCCTTGACCCCAGCCTCAGTCCATTCCTTGTGAAGTTCACTCAAATTCTTGAATCGATTTTGCTTGACAATCCTCATAAGGCTGCAGTTCTCTCGGTTGGTTGTGCATCTTTTTCTTCCACACCTTTTCCTTCCACTCAACTTTCTGTTAACATGCTTGGATACAGCACTCTGTGAACAGCCAGCTTCTAGAATTGGGATTGGGCCTTAAACTACTTCAGTCTGTGTGCATTGAATTTATTTAATACATGAGTTTCACAATTTGAGTTGAATTACTGAAATAAATGAACTTTTCCACGACATTCTAATTTATTGAGATGCACCTGTATGCAGGAAGTGTGTATGCAGTTCTCAATACATACAGTTGTGATCAGAATTGCTTAAAGTATTGAAATTAAGCAATAATTAAAGGGACAGTTCACCCAAAAATGAAAATTCTGTCATTAATTACTCACCTTCATGTTGTTCCAAACCTGCAAGACATTGGAACACAAAATAAGATATTTTTGATGAAATCTGAGAGCTTTCTGACCTTGAATATGCAGCAACGCAACTACCGGGTTCAAAGCCCAGAAAGGTTGTAAGGACATCGTTAAAATAGTTAATGTGACATCAGTGGTTCAACCGTAATTTTATGAAGCTACGATAATACTTTTTGTATGCAAATAAAACAAAAATAATGACTTTATTCAAATATTTCTTCTCTTCAGTGTCAGTCTTCAATTCGGAGAGTATTCCGTGTCATTTTGGGGTGAACTATCCCTTTAAGACGCTCCAATCAACTTGAGATGTTAGGAATCTACCTGGAAGAGGATGTGTATTTATATTGTCCTAATGCAAGACGAAGTGATAGTTTGAGAGGCCAAAGACCCTTCAAGGACCACAGTTGAAGAACTGCATAAAATAGTTGGGGTCAGGGGAAAAGGAGAAAAAAATAATAATTAAAGAGCACCTACATCACCACAACTTGTTTGGGAGGCTTTTTTATTTTTAGTTATTTATTTTTATTTTTTTAATTCTCTACATATTTAGTTGCCAGACACTACTGGAACTTTAAACGGGACTGTGTTCTATGGTCAGATGAAATGTAAAAGAACAACAACAAAAAAAACATGCCCACTGTTAAATATATTGCTGGAACTTTACAGCTCATCGAGCATTATAGGAGTAGACTCGGAGCTGTTAACTTGGCAAATGGAGGTTGCAAAGAATATTGCATAAAAGGGGACCAATAAACTGTCACCAGCGTGTGAAAAAAACATTTCACAATTAGATTAACAAGGGGGCCAATAATTCTGTCCACAACTGTAAACATTCAGTTCTTTGTAGGGTTGAAAATGAGTGCTTCTGTTACAAACTGCTCTTCCGTATTGAAAAGGCCAGTTGGAATTCCTAAAGGCACTGAGGTGCTGATAGAGATCAAGGACTATAGACTGAGATGTTTCTATATCAAGAGTCTGCTAACTGTCACACATTTAATATGATGGGGCCAGCTGTAATCTGCTGATGGTCTGAGTGTAATTATGGAATTATGTAAGTGGTGTTCTCTCCGTTGTCGTTGGACTGCTCTTGGATACCTGAGTTCTGCCTTCCTTTTATAGAATCTAGGCCTATATTGTTTCTATAAAACAATGGCATTTGCTATGAAAACCTGTTGTCTAAACAGAAAAATGAATGTAAAAACAGTTTCATGGCATAATGTTACTCCTGTTTTCTGTGTCAGTGTTGTTGAGAATATCAGCATTTTATATTTCATCTGGCTTTAAAACTAGTTTAAATCACCAAGACATTGCCTTACTTGCCTTTTGTTTTAGCATGTTGTTACAGGAAGAGCGGATTCACAACAAAAATTACACATTCAGACTAACACTCAGAGGTGTAAAGAGTACCTAAAAACCATACTTGAGTAAAAGTACAGATCGTGGCATTTTTTTGGATGCATGCATTAGCTCACAACTTAAAAGACAATACTCAGCATTACTGACTATTGACTATGATTGGATTATTTGAAGCAATCTTATTGCTTTTAGATGTTTGTTAATGTTAAAAACATTAACAATACATTATTTATAATCTAGCAGTGTTGCTTTTTTCTCATCATATTTTTGTAACCAATTTGCTTTAAGTAATTATTGTTAAGTTGTTAAGTAATTATCTTCATGTGCTAGCAGTCTTCAGGAAAATACATAAGAAACAAAATCAATCTGTCGCTGTCCACTTTATGTGTGTGAGGAACAGATACCTGAGCCTCACCTCTGACACAGAGAGCAGTTCTACTGAAAATACATTAAAAACAACACACAATCAACACATTTAGATAATAAATAACATTTATATAAGATAATTCCAAGTGAAATTCAACAGTCATCGAAAAATGACATGACTGCATTGCAATAAAATGTTCACATCCAGGGCCGTTTCTAGGCATAGGCGAGCTAGGCGGCCGCCTAGGGCGCCACCAGCTGAAGGGGCGCCAATGAGCGCACGTACTGGCACTTTTAGCAGGGTTGTGATAAAGAGTGGCACGGTCACCCTGAAATATGACTGCCGCCCCCACTGGATCCCCCAACATTATTGGGCTAGAGTACTGTCAATCTGACGATGCCTGTATGCCACTAGATCAGAGTGCTGCATTTTTGTTTGCATTTGGAGCGCTCAACAACGCCATTAGATCAGTGGGCTCTGTCAGTGCTTTGGCAAGGTAACACTTTTTTAAAAGGGAATAGGGATTTCGCCTAGGGCGTCAAATTGGCTAGAAACGGCCCTGAGTCGAAGTTTTCCAGGAAAGAGCGGAAGGCTTGTTCTTCTGTCCACTCTCCGCTCTTGTATTTGGGGTGGTGTTTGCTGTTGTAAACACCCTGTAGATCTTCTATGGTCACAACGCCGTCTCCTGTCTTATCAAACTTCCGAAAAGCCTGATTGATCACCTGTTTCCGTGCGCTCGACATGGACGGCTGAAGCAAAGAAACAGAACAAGCGGGTTTCACTGAAATTAGAATGATGAAGGTGTTTTTGAGAAATTTTCTGCATCCTCGAAACACGTTCTTACCCTTAATTTCTCAAGAAACTCATCAAAGTTGATAGTTCCATCCTTGTCCATCACGGCAAAGCTCTGCTGTGCTTTGTCCTTCCCCACAGACACGCCGTAGTTCTCCAGCCCCTTCTCGAACTCCTGGAAGTCCAGAGATTTACTGCCATCATCGTCCATAATGCGAAACGTCCTGGAAAAAATATAGGGAATTTATGTTCTAGGTTAAACTGTTGAACGTAAACATATTTTCATTATTTCTCCCAAATCCTCTACCTTTGTAAAAGAATAAAATAGAAAGACAAATATTTAAATTATTGATTCCTAAAATCCCTAATTAAGCATATGAACATTTCCACCTAATTTAGCCTAAAAACTTAAGATCAGTTGCTGCCTTCCATTTGTACGCCTAATCAAACTGGTTGCATGTCATTTCAACTTTTTTTT